TTTTTGTTTTCCTATTAGGATTCTATAGGGGCAATTGATGGTACTCACATTCATGCAAATGTCCCCGTAGAGGAACAAGCGAGGTATCGTAATAGGAAGCAAATGATATCTCAGAATGTTTTGGTCGCTTGAACATTTGATATGAAGTTTAGTATGTGCTTGCCGGTTGGGAGGGATCAACCCACGACGGTCGATTGCTAAGGAGTGCTACCTTACGACAATGTCATATGCTAACAATTCCTGTTGGTAAGATCTATCATTTCGTTCTTTATGATTTGACTTTCACTTCTTTCAAAACATAACGACAACTTAACAACCATGTGTCGAATAGGTAAATATTATCTTGCTGATGCTAGATTTCCATTGGTTCCGGGATTTCTAGCACCCTACCGTCGGACTCGGTGCCATCGTAGGGACATTGAGGGACATTGACCTGAAAATTAGAAAGAATTGTTTAATTTTCGACATTCATGTCTACGAAATGTTGTGGAATTGGTTCCGGGATTTCTAGCACCCTACCGTCAGACTCGGTAACATCGTAGAGACATTGAGGGACATTGACCTGAAAATAAGAAAGAATTGTTTAATTTTCGACATTCATGTCTACGAAATGTTGTGGAGAGGATTATTGGTCTGCTTAAAAAGAGATTCGCATATTTGAGGCATCAAACATTCCACGACATTGAGACGCAAGCAAGGATTGTGCTTGCTTGTTGCTCCATTCACAACTTCTTAAGGATTTATGACGCGGATGATCTTTGTGATGAGGACAACTATAGTAGCGATGATGAGGTTAACCCTAAATATGTTGATGCACCAGAAGATGACACACCAAATGCTCCAATATCTTTCACAGCAGAAGCTGCATGGTCTAGTAATAGGGATACAATGGCTGATGAAATGTGGGCTGCTTACCATCCAAGTCATGACACGGGAATTGATTTTGATTGAATCTACTATGTATTATATTTCAGTAGAAACTTGTTATGTTGTAGTGTTTTCTTATTTCCAAGGATATCTACATTTGCATCTTTCATATATTTTCGAATCTCTTTGCCTGGTTTATATCGTTATTAGCTGATTTTGAAGCAATATTGTTGTTCCTTCTAGTTATGCTAATATTGATTTTTTTTTTATTTTCAAGTGACGGCGTTAATGGCACAAAATCGACGAAACTTGACGGGCCAGTTTCATGTTCCCAAACCGACCACCCCTTCGGACGGGAATTCCATTGATTTTGGTAGGTCGATAATGGAGCCTAATGCTAAGAACATACATTGGAGTGAGGGAATTCCATTGATTTTGGTAGGTCGAAAATGGAGCCTAATGCTAAGACTCGTAACGTACGTTGGAGTGATGAGATGGATGGTTTTCTGATCACGTCACTTGTTGAACAAGTGTTGGCTGGGCACAAACGAAGTGACAATGGCTTTACCACATTTCAAGTATCTAAGGCAGTAGACAGGGTTCTCAATGGATGCAGGGTCATGGTCTCAGATAAGAATGTAAGGGCAAGGTTAAAGACTCTTAAAAAAGACTATGCCGAAGTTCGCCAGTTGCTACATATGAGCGGTTTTGGGTTGGATCCTGAAACTGGACACATTATAGCTGATGTCGTTGCTTGGGAGGATTTTATTACGGTACGAATTTGGACGAATGTTGGACTTTGCTAATAATAGATATTGGAAAAATAGATGATTTTGGGACATTTAAAATGCACTAACAAGTTCATTTTGCAGGGGAAGCCAGATTTTGGGAAGTGGAGGACCAAACTTTGTCCAAGATATGATGAAATGGAGACTATCTTCGGGAATGATGCAGCCACTGGAGATTGAGCAGTGTCTGGCTTCGAACATTTCTCCCCAATGAATGGTATGTAATATATTTTACTGTACGATACTGTGCCCGTTTCATGTCTAAACTTCTAATAAATTGTTCTCTCTTTAATGTAGTAATTGATGATAGTGTGAACGAAGTAGATATGGAAAATGTGGAGATGGATCTTAGCCCAGTTCATTCTCGTAAGCGTACCGCCGAAAAAGGGACCAACAAATCCAAGCGTCGTCGTGCACGACCGGTAGATGAGAGTAATATCGCCCTATTGAGGATTGCCGATTCTTCTACAAAAATTGCTCAAGCTATGGAAATGCAAGCTACGCTAGATACGCTGAACCATGTCAATTGGCAGTTGATTGTAGAGAAGCTAGAGGCAATGAACCTAGACATGGACGACATCATGCAAGTTATGAAAGAGTTTTGATCCGACGATGGTTTGGCTAAGGTATTTATGAATTTGACAAGTACAAAATACATGCGTGCTTTGGTGTTTGACAAGGTCGGTCGTGATCCGCCTCCACTACCATAGATTGCACATGACTTATGGCGTAAGTATGTATTAACTTGTAATCCATTTGGAAAACTTCATCCACATAAGTACTACTTTGAATGTTTTTTGTAACGCACACACGTAACAACTAGTGTGCAGTGTTTTGTAACATTTGGTGTGGATGTCTTTTGTCAATTATGTATTTGGGAAAACAATAGACATTTATAATCCTTAATCTTTTGTTGGCTATTTTGTTTCAAGGGTTTTGAAAGGTTGATGTAGATGTTGGGCATTGAGTTGTTTATAGTATAAAAATGCATCAGTACCATTATCCACGAGCACTTGAAAGATTATCAATTGTCGGTTGTTTAAAAAATAAAAAAATGAAAGCAAGATAATGGAAATTAGAAGACAGAATAGCTTGGTTAGGAAATTTTTCGAACACCTAAAATGCTAATGGAGAAATTCTTTTTTAAAAGTTGTCTCAATTGGAACAATTTAGATGAAACAGCCAATTGAGGGTGTTTAAAGGAAATGATGGAAGGCAAGTATGTCAAATTCCTGGTTAATCTAGATCAATTGCAGAAAATTACAAGATTATTATGCCTCTCTACTCAATATCGAATATTGATTTAATTTATGATTTTTTTTTAAAATTACAGTCATACTAATTAAATACCAAATTCATAATTTCAAAAATATGTTGTCAGATAATTTAATTATAATTAAATATCCAATTCTTACAAATAACTATCAAACACCAATAGTTGGAAAATAAAATAAGTTCCATGGAAAACAAAACCAATCAAATACCAAAAGGTGGAAAATCTCAATATTTTTCAAGTAGAAAATTATACCAATCAAACACAATTAATTGACAATTCCCAGAAAAACAATTTCCAGGCAATTCAATTCCCTAAAATTCGTTTTCTTTTCACCCATTTTCCACATTTGCAATCAAACGCACCCTTAGTATAAACGCTCACACGAGAGAACCGTAGAAGAAGCGCAACAGACATAGCATCAAAAGCTTACACATTTGTCATTACGCGCGGTTAGCATCGAATTTTTTTATCCACTACACAATTAACGACCACTGCAGAGGTACTACTCTGACTGCAATATTGCCTCAGACAACCACCGATGAAAGGAAGAACGGCGGTGGATGTCGGAGCTGATGGTGTGGCCATCATCACCATCAACAATCCACCTCTCAATTTGCTCTCTGTTGACGGTATTTCCACTTAAATTAACCTTTCTCCCTTTAAACTTAATTTTGCTCATTTTCCCCAGATTATTTTTACTTTGTTTTCATCGTAAACTGTCGTTACAAGACTCATCCCGAAAGCAATTGTTTATGATAATTAGAATTGTGCCATTTACCATCAGTTACCTGTTTGCAGCAACTAATACACATTCTGGATTTTTCTGTTTCTGTGCTTTGTGAATTCCGTAACATGTTGCCTTGTTATTTTTCAGTGCTCCTCAGCTTAAAAGAGAGTATTGAAGGAACCATAATAAGAGATGATGTGAGAGCAATTGTTATTACTGGTAAAATTTTAAAAAGCTACCATATTTCATAGTGACGGATGATAAATTTGTGAATCTAACATCTTGGTTAAATGAGCAGGTTCGAAAGGAAAGTTTTCAGGTGGATTTGATGTGACCGCTTTTGGTGGAAGTCAAGGGAAAAGGAGTAAGTTTGGTCACATGTAATTTGTTGCCCTTTAATACCAAATGTATGGTTTCTTCAGCTCTAAGTGGTATAGATGTCGCAACAGCGCGAAAGGAGCTTGGATTTTTGTCAATTGAATTTCTCACCGACATCTTCGAAGGTGTGTTCTAGTTCTAGACCAAGCTCTGTCAATGACAAAACTAGCTAGAACTTTTCAACAACTTTAGGGTCAACTACATGAATCCCCCTCTTGGTTCCTGTTTATCTGTCTCATACTTCTCAAAAGTTTCTGCTAAAAATTGCATCTTTTAGAAATTCATACCAATCAATGGCATACCAAACAAAGAAAATGGAAGGAAAGTCAAGTCATTTACTAAAAATGAATTATTTTATAAGCCCATGCAATGGAACCTTATACAGTCAAATGAAATCCAATTCCCTTCCGATACCTTCCAAGAAAAATATCACATATTTTTATATTTGGCGAGTTACTAAAATTTTCTCTTGCTTTAACCACCATCTATAATTTATACTTTAACCACTGTGTTTCCATATTAAGCGTGCTTCTACTCTTGTACTCTCTCATTACCTCCTTTGTTAGGTTCCTAATACGGGTGCCTGTCACATTCCTCTTCAAGTTAATATTTCCCACCTGTCTTATTTTCTTTGATTCAAAAGCTTTATCTTTGGAAGTCAATTGTATGTTACCCTATAGTTTCCACTATCCTATTACATCAAGTCAAATCATTTGCTCTTTCTTTTCCATTCATTAGTAATGGCATACTTATGTTGCATATTTTGAACTCCATTAACTAATTGTTTCTACTATATCCTCACCAATACACTAAAATTTATAGTCTTCGTTCTCACTTCATTTGTCTTCTCTCCTACCCATACACCCGACCCACGTTTATAAGCTACATGAATGTCTTCTCACGCATCACTCATGCTAGTTCTAAAGATTTAAGTGTCCCTATATTCCAAGTACTTATTCTAATTCTGTTTCTACGGGTTGACTTCTTTTCCAACTTCTGTTCATAAAGGTGGGAACCACCTTTTACTTTTCGAAATATGTGCCGACTAATTTGTGGCATCACTTATCCATTAGATCTTAACTAAGCCTTCCTCACTTTTCACTACACGGGAGTCCACTGCAATGCTTCCTATCAGGAGAAGTCGAACAAAATTTATAATAAATAATAGATTCATGCCATAGATCAATAATGTGACAACGTTCTATGCCAACTCTCATTCTAATATGACACTCCTCCTGTCTGCTTTGAGACCAGTTACAAAGAAACATAGGCATGTTAGAACAAGCTCTTTCAAGACAACTTTTTGTGTTTGTTTGTTAGATTTATAGTTTATAATTTTTCACCATTATTTATAATTGTAGCTGCAAGAAAGCCTTTGGTAGCTGCCATTGATGGCCCTGCTTTTGGTGGGGGGCTAGAAATTGCTCTTGTACGTGTCATAATTTGGTTCGGAAGTAACTTTTTTTTATCCTTCTGTCAACACTCTTTTTATGGGTTGCACTTTTTCAGGCCTGCCATGCCCGTATATCTACTTCCTCTGCACAACTAGGCCTTCCTGAACTTCAATATGGGATTCTTCCTGGTCTTGGAGGTCTGTTGGATTTTCACAGATGGACAAGAGTAGTGGATTCACTCAACCATCTTAATCTTTACTTTTTTTCTGAATATTGGACTCTATCGGTTTTAAGAGGATCCGGTTTTTCCATTTTGGAAGCTATTGCACAAATTCCTGAGTTTCCTTTTGTCGAATGTTGCATTTTACAAGTTTTTATGTTGTAGAAAATTGCTGTACTGTCCATATTATCTCTTACTGATATATTTATCCTACACAAATGGTTTGTTGTAGCATCTCAGTGATATATTATCCTATGCCAACTGGTGTTTACTATGTATCTTAATTATATATTATTCCATGACAAATGGTATTTATTCTGGAATATGTAGAAGTTGAGATATTTTTAATTTTGACATGTAACCCTTGAAATTCACTTGCCTTCTTTTACTTGGATACTTTTGCTGGTTATCTGAGGAGCATCCAACTGATCTTGAGCTGGCCTGACGAAAGTCTATTGGTGCTATTATGTTGCATTTCAAGATGAAAATATCACGACTGTTTGTTGATAGAAACATTCTTCTACTTTTTGAGAAAAATATAAAATAAAAAATCCCATGTCTGGGAACATTGGTGCAACACTTAGTGTTACATGCTTCATTTTGGCACATTGAGAGCTAGCTATGACCTTTTTGTTTGAACTCTTCAGCGAAGCAAGTTTAACAAGACGCTCTTCATAATTCATTTACTTAGTGTGGGTCAGCATATGCACTTAATGGCATGGGTATCATCTTAATAGTTAAATCCATGGTAAGACAAAGGTGGTTTTTGTTCACTTAGATTACAACATTAAAAGCCTTCAATTGGACTAGTTTGCTGTTGGCTAGAAATCTTATTACTTAATTTTACTTTCAAATTAACTCCTTTTGAAGTTGTGGCGTGGGAGGTGATATGATGCTTGTAATTTGTCGATCATTTTACATGGTAATTGATTTTAAACTTGTGATTTGCTTCAGGGACACAAAGGCTTCCACGGCTTGTGGGCCTTCCCAAGGCTCTTGAAATGATTTTGGTATGCAGACTTGTACTTTATGTGTTTGATTTTCTTAACCTATACATATAATAAAATCCTTTATTCTTCTTCAGATGTCAAAGCGAGTGAGTGGTGAAGAAGCTCGGATTTTGTCTCTTGTGGACGTTATAGCTCCATCAGATAAGCTGCTTTTAAAAGCTCGTCAATGGGCATTGGATATATTGCAGTGTAGAAGGCCATGGGTCATTAGTCTTTATAAAACTGACAAATTAGCTCCCTTAGGACAGGCTAGGGAAATACTTAAGTTAGCCCGACTCCAAGTCCAGAAACAGAACCCGAATCTGATGCACCCATTAGTATGCATTGATGTCATTGAACATGGAATAGCTTCAGGCCCTCGTAATGGACTATGGAAGGTAAAAAATTATCTACTTTTCTGCTGGTGGAATACCCTCTTACATGCAGTTTATGATAATTTGCCCTCCCCTGGCAGGAAGCTGAAGCTTTACAAGAACTTCGACAATCCAGTACATGCAGGAGTTTGATCCATATGTTTTTTGCTCAAACTCAAATTTTAAAGGTTCCACCTAATTTTGACGTCTTCTCTGGTCAAGTTTAGGATATTAATTCAATGACCATATTGAATTACTTGTGCAGTAAATGAGAGAAGATTTGTGTTGTGCCATAATTCAATGAAATTGTTAATAGAATAAGTTCTAGAGGTTTCAGAGAAATCTGATCCTGATGATATGGAAATTGAATAAAAACTCTATCATATCGATACTTTGTTCTGATGGTTGGAACTATGCAACCAGATGATCTTTATATTGACTCAAATTACTGAGACACACACATCTTTTGTGTAAAAAGTACGGAGATGAATCTTCTTTAATCAAGTATCTCATTCTCCAGATGTAAGGTAGCATATAAAAACACAGATTTTATTGGCCATGGCCATACCTTTGCATTAATTCTGTAAGTTGAAATTTTAAAGATCTTAGTCATTTGATTATATCTTTTGCTTAGTGCCTCTCTTCATTGTACATTTGGTCTCAGATTCCTGGGATTACTGATATAAATTTGCTGCCGAGGAAAATAAACAAGGTTGCAATTCTTGGCGGGGGATTAATGGCGTCTGAAATAGCAACAATGTTGGTTCTCAGTAATTACCAAGTAATACTGAAAGAGAAGGACAAAAAGTGTCTTCTAGATGGCATCAGCAGAGTTAAAGGTGCCAAGAAACTTACCTTTAATAAAATATCTCTAGGTTATTTTTTAAAATGATTGATATTGCCTTTTCAATGTCAGAAAATTTGCAAAATCATGTCAAGAAGGAAAAGGCAACTCAAGAGAAACTTGAGAAATCTTTCAATCTAATCTTGGGTGTTCTCAACTATGACAACTTTAAGGACGTTGATTTAGTTATAGAGGTTGGTTTCACCGTGAAGCTATATTTCCATCTGAGACTTTGCCTTTCTCTTATTATTATTTATAATTCCAATATTATTAATATTTCTTTTTCTGCATCAGCAGGCAGAAAAAGCTGATAGGGTCCTGTTTTCTAATGCAGTCACTCCAAAGAATTTTAGTTACTAGCAAGATATAGATGTCAGAACTTTGAGTAGCTGTCTTAGGATCTGGTTAAAAGTCTCACACGACAACTTGAAAAGGTTTTTACAAGAATTTCCTTAAAATGGTTACTGAAGAAAACTGGTCTCCTTTTATGGCCTGGGAACATTGCTTTTTGGCTGCAGATATTAATATCTTGTTACTTTGCCTTACCTGTATGACTGACGTGCAAGGAACTAGGGTGGTCAAGGCAATTTCGTATGTGCAAGAATTTAGAAACAGAGAAATTTATCGAAAGGGCATATAAGGTTGTCATGATACTGGGTAGAATTAGTTGATACTCTACATGTTGGGTATTACCACATCGGTTGTTAGAATGTTCATGGAAGTAAGGATCCTCCTTGAAGCATATCAGTTAGTAGATAATTTGCCTTTGCTTTCTTACTTATTTTTTTTGGTTGTAGAAGGATCCAGGTTTCCGCATGTCCTATGAGTTAAAAAATAAGCAAATATTTTAAGAGGAAAAGGAGGCAAAATGGTGATAATAGTTGAAAATAAAGAAAGAGAAGTAACTACTAAAAATATTGAATTTGCACATCTCAAAATTCACGCGAATAACCTGTAGAAATGACAATTATGGTTAACATAAGTCGAAATTTGATTTGTTAACTCACAGGCAGAATCTGAAAGTCTGTCCTTGACAGAAATGATATTTTCTGAACTAGAGATATGCTGCCCCCCAAATTGCATCTTTGCCAGTAATTCTTCAACATTAAGTTTGAAATTGCTTGGAGAAAGGATAAAATGCGAAAACAGAATGGCTAAGATCCATTTTTTCTGGTAATACTTCATGCCACTTTATTGTTACTGCCTTATAATTTGGTTTTGAATTCTGATTCATCATTTGGATGCAGCCCTTCTCCCATCCTGCCTCTTATGGAAATAGTTTGCACACACTCATCCCCTCAAGTTATTATTGACTTAATAGCTTTTGGGAGGAAAATGAGGAAAACTCCAATTGTAGTTAGGGACTGCAATGGCTACGCAGTCACTCGCATGATTATTACCTATTTGCATGCAGCAATACTACTCGCTGAACGAAGTGTAGATGTTTACCAAATCGATCGGGCTATTACAAGCTTCGGGATGTCACTCTGCCCATTTAGGTATGCTGGCAATTTCAAGTCCAATTGAAGTTGAAATAATTATTTCAGTTTGGGTCAACAACTTCTGACTGTGTCACATGACTTCCTATTTATGTAAATAATGTTATGCACAATGATCGTTATTTCATAGTGTTTAGAGGGCAACATACTTTTCTGTCATTTTCAGTTTCATTATTTGATACGAAAATGCCAATTCAGCTAGATTAGCCGCCTTCTCTTTATTTTGCATTATAATGTCATCTATTTATTTCACTGAAAAAATGGATGCAGAATGATTGATCTGGTTGGATTTCAAGTTGTTATCATGCTAAGTAAAATATTTGTCGAGAACTTTCCTGATAGATCCTACAAACCCAATCTAATTCAAATTATGCAACAAGATAATCGTGAAGGTAACTTACTTACCTTGAATCTTAGCGCTTCCATTCTTTTTATTTAGGAAATCATTTCTTGTAGGTCTCTCACATGCTCTTGTTAATTGTGGCATTTGTCAGGCGAGTCAAATAGCAAAGGGTTCTATATATATGACGAGAATAACAAGCCTAGCATGGATCCCGAGATGATGAAGTACACAGAAAAGGCTCGAACTATATCAGATGTGACCATTAATTCCAAGGTCTCTCTCCGTCTCTCTTGCATATTAATAAGGATTCGCTGATGAATGATCACTTTATCTTGTACTATATTTAAGTTAATGACCTCCATTTGCTAATAAATGTGCGTACAGCACAACAATGGCTAAAAAGCCCTGTAATCTTTTGTGTGGACGTCTTGATTTGGATGCAACATGAGTGAAACTGATTTAGGACAGAGTATAAGCAAATTGTTGTGCACTTCTAGCAGATCCTGTGCTATAGCATATTTGGCTAATTTTAAATTTTTTACTCATAACTAAATCTACTTGTACGTAAATAATTTAGTTTTAAAGTAGGTAACCTTTATGTTGTCAAAGTTGGAAATAAATAAATTACTTATTTTGATAAAGAGATACTAGTAAAAAAAAAAGTGACACTTTTTTTTTAACTTGAAGTTAAGATATTATGCTCAAAGACAAAAGTGGACTTTGAACGTCACTTATTATTATTATTTTATTTATTTATTATTTTTTTTAAAAGCTTAGGTAAACATGCTCATATGGTCTACGCCCCAAGCAAATGCACAAGTTGCATCCGTGATTTTTGAGTATGCAAGTCATAGGTAATACTACACCACCACTTGAAGTGGTTGCCGCTTGTCCATGGATTTTTTTTGGAAGTTGAAATTCACATTCGAATGCAAAATAAGGAAATTTGACGATGATTTTACATTGATGAATGCATATATAATTTTTTTTTTTTTTTCAATTTCCATAGGGTCTTGGTAATATGCATGAATATTTCCTATTGATTTCTGATCTAGGACTGAGTTGACTTCCCCCTCCCCCTCCCCCAAAAAACTGGAAAGTAGATAAATAAATAAAAATTATAGCATTTTTTGTGACAGTTGACTACATTGTCCGACCGTGAGATAGCCGAGATGATCCTCTTTCCTGCTTTGAATGAAGCCTTCCGCATCATTTCAGAGGGAATAGCATTTAGGACATCGGATCTTGATGTTGCTTCTGTTAAGGGAATGGGGTTTCCAGCTTACAGGTATGCATTTTGACCAACTTCATTGATCTGGTTGCTTTCGCCGATGAGATGCTAAAGCTGTATGAATTGAAGCAGAGGAGGAATCATTTCCTGGTCCAATTCTTTAGGCTCCACATACATTTATTCAAGATTGGATAAATGGTCAAAGGATTATGGAGAATTTTTCAAGCCCTGTGCCTATTTATTGGAGCGAGCTTCTGATGGGACCTCACTGGTAAGGAATATCAAACTGGTTCCTTTGCAAGTCATGTTACCATTGCCTCCTTTCCAAATTGCATGTGTATGGTGAAATTTGTATAATTTTACGAAGAGCTTAATGGATGATGGAGTTGTATCACGTACTTGGTGCACATACCGATGACATGTTTGGTACGTAGTATTGACACTACGAGATGAGATTTTATTTCGTTTTCATTCTTAGTACTATTCAAGTTGTCTAGTCCACCTTATCAAACATGCCATAAGTACACGTGCCTTGCATATTCTGAATTATTTACTCTAGCTTAAAAGTGAATCCAAGCTTGCTTCGTTTCAACTATTTGGCCAGCACTTTCAACAAGTTGTAGTTGAGGCTTGACTGATTCCAAGAAGCTCAAGCCTTTTTTTTTTAATCGGTAAATGTAAATATATTGATCAAAAATCATATACAACTACACCGGGCATATCTGGGCAATCAAAGATCAAGTACGCATACAAGTACACCAGACATACCCAGCCAAACAAAATGAAAAGATGTACAAACAACTAGATCTAACGGCCTAATATGACAGTTGCATGCACTATCTCAAACCTTCAATACAATCCATTTTCTTCTTTTAATGGTTTTAAGTTTGCATCTGTGCTTATACTTTTCTGATATGTATATTCAAATTGATATTGCAGGGGAATCAGGTGGAACGGACTAAATCTCAATTATAAGATCTGTCGTATCATTTAGTTCAGCTTAGTGTAATGGTCAAGGTGAGTGGTTGTGCGACGACTCTTGACAGTGCTGTTGAGGTACCTTGAATTATTTTCTGAACCTTAGATACGCAAAATGCGCTACCGAGTTTGATTAAATAGTATTGTTATTTAAATTTTATTAATTCATGCACTTGAATTAATGAGGGTAGGGACGTCAAGTAGCTCATTGAAGGAAGTAGGAATAAATAGAGATCTATGTTTCATTTTCGTATTTTGATTGTTTTTGAAAAAATTCGTGGAGTTCTCTCCCAATTTTGTTAATTCGTATTCGTATTCTGCGGGAATCAATGAGATTGAATTAGTGTAATTATTTTCTTACGATTTCTGGCTGCATCCACCATCTTTTAATTTGCCTAGAAAATTTGTTGCTGTTGATTTCCCCTTTTTCTTTTTTTTTTCTTTTTTCTCTTTATGTTGCTTCCTTCTCGGGGAAGGGAGAGAGGTGTCAATCCTTGGATTCTCGACCATAGTTATGAAAACAACAAATCCTTTACCAACAACTATTGGGACAAGATTAATAGGTGCTTGCTGCTGATTTCTAATTCTTTCATCACAGGGATAAACGGAAAAATCTAAGCGAAAAGGCATGAACGAGGCTATGTCACCATAAATAGGATGGAAAATGGTGAAGTGATGAACTCATGAATTTATAGCTGGAATACGCACGAGACTATTTGCTGTTAATATTACAAACTTTGTAGTATTTCTGGGTACAGAAACATTCTTACGATCTGCCCCTTTGGCTACTGATAATATATTTTACAGTTGTTTCGTATTGAACAAGAATAATGGGTCACAAATTGTACTTATATTCATCATTTTACTTATTTCCATTTGCTGTCCTATTTCATTTTGTTGCCACATAATGCTTTTTAGTCTAAGTTCTCACATTCACGAAGGATGGAGCTTTCTTTGTTGCTTTAGCTGCTAAATTGGGTTCAGAGGTAACTTTTACTTTATAAATTCTTCTTTGATCTCTTAGCTACCGAGGTAGCGATATAGCTCGCTTATTACTTCACCATGTAGAGAAGACCTCCTACTTGAAAGATTTGCGGGGTTGAGATTATTTTTTCTTTTGTTGTAAAATATTTAGCCCCTGTTTGGGAGCTGTTTTCAGCAAGATTTTTAACAAAAAAATGACCGTTAACTACACAGGTGGGTCCCACCTGTGAGACAGCAAGTCAATAATGGTTGCTGATTTTCATGTTTAACGGTAAAAAAATGAATTTTTTGGGTAAAAATGGCTACCAAACAGGCTCTTACGATAAAATTTACTACTGGCTAGTATTCTTTCATCATAGGAGGACCTCTTAATCTCAAAGATCGCAAGCTCATGCGACAATTGTCGGGCTTTATGCATCACTTGTATGTTCAATTCTCAACTGGTTAAGGATTTGGAGTCGACATCCACTTTTCAATTTTTGCCATTCAATTTGCTGTTCACATAATCGCAAGCTCAAGCGACAATTGTCGGGCTTGATGCATCACTTGTATGTTCAATTCTCAACTCGTTAAGGATTTGGAGTCGACATCCACTTTTCAATTTTTGCCGTTCAATTTGCTGTTCACATAATTAAATATTGATACATTTAAATTAACATATTCAACTTTTCTGTAACTACTTCTAATGTTTAAAAATAGGTAACATTTTAATGTAAATTGACGTGTCAATAATTAAATAGTGGATGACAAATTAAACAGCAAAAATTGGACAGCAGGTCTTAACTCAAATATTTGAGTCGAACTTCTACTTTTTGTTTAAGAAGGAATGAAGATCATCTAACTTCTAAGGACGCACTAGTTTGGACTTCTATAGTGATGCTTATTTTTTTCCTCTTGATATGAACGTGTCCGTTTGTGTAGCAATTTCTATCAATGGTATATCTCAACTCCCAAAACTTCAAGAGCGTGTACGGATTGAGTCTTGGTTCTACTCCCTTTACTTTGAAACAAACCTTCTTGCTTTGGCATCATGTCCATTAGCATAGACACTTATCTCATGACCCAGAGTTTTCGTTATGTGCTTTAATCGACTTATCTTCCATTCGTGGTGTTTTGGATAAGATGATTAAAATAACATATTACTATTTGAACATCACTTTAAAAGACATTTAGGCAGAATATATATTTGTCGTGCCAAGTTGATATGGGTAACTAATGAAATTTTCACCACATAAACTCGAAATCCTGGGATTCAACACCTTTACATGCTCCTCCATCTCATGAAACATCAGCTTGAACAACTTTCGAGCCCAAAAACATCACAAGGAATCCAAAATTTTATGTTCAATTTGATTTTGGTAGTCAACTTTTTCCTTAGGCATTATTGCATTTATTTTAAATGCTTACTAGATCAATTTTTTTTGTCCAATCATGTTACATGTACATCATCATTTACATCATTTTTTACATTTTGTCATGTGGTAATACACTACTGGACAGTTAAATTTTTTAACAATTTTCACCCAATCAACTCTTGACAACACTTGTAATATCAACAGTAATGCTAACAAAAGAGTGTACATGCCCTTCGGGGTATAGCTCAGTGGTGCAAAGGATAAGAATAAGGTAGCTTCAGTTGAACTGATAGTCGCAGTATGAGTGTTCGATTCCTGTCTCTTACAAAGAATGAAATTAGACTCTTAGTAGGCACCGATATGACAGCTCTTGTACTCTGGCCTGTCGAAGCACATTTCGCATTCGATTCCTGTCTCTTACAAGGTATGAAATTAGACTCTTTGTAGGCACCGATATGACAGCTCTTGTATTCTGGCCTGTCGAGACACATTTCGCAATTTACCTCTTCCACAATACTCTAGGGGTGGAGTGATGAGGGACCTTCAAGGTTGGGTTCAACCTTTTAACAAAAGAGTGTACACATTACATTTTCCTTTTTTTGTTTACCTTTTCCTTTACTTTTTATTTTGAATGCTTCTGTGAATGGAAAAATGAAAGGGGAAATCTATTGGCCCTAAGGATGTGTTTGCTACGAGGAAAAGAGGAGTAAAAAGGGTCCGGGACCCAGTGGCATTTTAGTCAACAGAATATCCCTCACGTGTTGGCTGAGCTTATAATATATGGTAATTATATAATTTATATTCACGCGACTGTTTTTTTTTATATCTGCGCATTTTATTTACAAGAAATGATTCTGATATGAGCTCGTTTTTGCTTTTATGTTCTCAACTTTTTCTTGTTGGATTGTCGATCTTAACCTTAAATTAATTAACATATTTTGTTTTTAATCACGATTTTCATTCAAGTATTCTACTAACGTTGATTGAAATGATATACAAATATTTTGTTGAATTTATATATTTATTATTTATTTCGATTATTTAAAAATACGAGAGATAAATATGTCTTTTTTGCCCTCATAACAAGTATTTTGAATGAAAATCATCTCTATATTCAAGATGTGAAAATGAATAGAGGATTGATGATTTTAAAAAATTTAAAAAAAGGTTGAGAACATAAGTTTAAAAATAACAAAAGTTTAGGGATATTCACTTGATTTAAAAGTTGCATAGTTAAAAAAAACGTGGTATGAATATATTTACCCTGTAATATATTCAAGAGACTTTCTATTATTAAAAGAACATATTTTACAATTTAGAGAACATTTATAAATTTAGAGAGTAAAATTTTTTAAATATTCCAATAGATTCTTTGTATTTTACATCCCAAATAATATTTACTATTATTTTTTTCTATATTTTATTTTCATTTGTTTTCCTTCAAATTATTATATTATTTTTTTCTATTAAAAATTGTAATATTTTGACTTCATTTATTTGTAGAGAGTGTGTTTGGTTCTTCAAATTTGTACAACCAAATCTACTCTCCATTTTAAAATGTTAATTTAAAAAGCTCTTTGTAACATAATTTTAAGGATTGATTTTTTAAAATAGAGAACATTTTATATTTAAAGTTTAAAATCGGACCGGACAGTTTGGCTCAATCGGAAAAATTGGGAATTAGGACCAAAATCGGTCGGATTAGATTTATAAAACCTCCAATTAAATACTCGCCCAAAACCTGTTAAATCGACTTATTTTTGAAAAATATGTGACATGTTCTTGATTTAGTCAGTTCAATTTATGTAAATGTATATTTTTTTAAAATTTAAAATCTACATATTTTTTAAATGGGTAATTATATTACCACTACAAAATTTATTGAGTGCACCACAATTTTTAATTTTTTTCCTATTTACTTAAATAACCTTAAGTAAAATTACATAATTAGGGTTAACATATTTTTAACTATTCACACCACATTATAATCACACCACAACACATAAACCGAATTTCATCATCTTCTTCTTTTCTATAATTGTGAGTCTTTGGCCATCATACTTGTAAGAATTCATGATGGAAACTACTTTTCTTTGCACGCCCGACAAATCATTAAGTGGTTTATAATTCTTTATGCGCAATCCATTATAAGAATTCTACATGTGCAAAAAATAAAACAAATCATTCTTTTAAGATTTTTTTTTTTCCAATTCGATGCTTAAAAAAAAATAATAATAATTCGATGCTTAAAGAGTTAAAAGGTAAGTAAAAGTTACTCGTGTGTGTTTGAGCCACATTATTTTTAAAGAATGTATTTTGGAATAGTAGATTGATGGAGAATGTGTGGTTGAAAAAGAAGGAAAAATTATTGATGTGATAAAAAAATATTATTATATTGAAAAATGTGAATGAAAATTTAATATGGCTCAAATATGGGCTTAATTTTTATTATATTTCTGCATGTATAGAAATTTTTTTAGAGAAATTCAAGAATTTCAGGTATTTAAAGTTTCAAATGCAAAAATCAGGGACCAAGTTTGAATCTTCAAAAATCAGGTACTACATAAAAACCCTAACCCTAATTTTTTATCCTCCACCCACTCCCCCTCTCGCCTGATTTCTTCTCTCTCTCTCTCGCCTCGCCTGATTTCCCCTCCCCCTTCTCTCTCTCTCTCTCTCTCTCT